TCGAGGCCGCGGAATGCATGATCAAACTGTGCTACCGCATGGATAACATCGGCTGGAAATTCTGTGACTCCGACATAGATGAATGTTTGGAACACTGGAAACGGTTTTGTTCTCTCACCCGTCATTGTGAGCGATTGCTTACGCCAAAGCGCCACATCCTGTGGCACCTGCTTCAGCGGGCTGCGTTCTTGGGGAACCCACGGTTCTACGCAAATTGGACAGACGAGGGGCTCAATAGAGTTTTGAAAGGTGCATGTCGCGAGCAGTCCCAGGTGACGTTCGAGGAGTGCGTGTTACTGTCGATGCCTGTGTAAAAAGTAACCCCACAAACATCACGCAAAACACGCATAACAAAAATTTGCTATTTGCGTGGGAAGAGGTATCGGACAAATTAGCACACATATAAACAGATCCCCACCGTCTCTTCCTCCCCCATCCGCCTCCTCCCCCTTCCGAGTAACCGTGCAAATCAGCAAAGTCGAGATCCGAGGAAATAGGAAACCAGCAAAGTCGAGATCCGAGGAACAGGAAAACCAGCAGAGTCGAGATCGAGGAACCAGGGGAACCAGCAAAGTCGAGATCCGAGGAACCAGGAAAACCAGCGACGTCGAGATCCGATGAAGCAAGACAACCAGTGAAAACGAAATCAGAGAAACCAGGGCAATCGATCGAGCCGAAATCCGAGAAAGGACCAAGAGGGGCCGAAGGAGCAGGAGGAGCAGCATAAGCAGGAGGAGCAGGTGGAGGAGGGGCTGGGCGAACAGGGGGAACAGGCGGAGGAGGAGGAGGACGGGGAGGAGGAGGATGGGGGAAGAGGAGGGGGGGAGGGGGGAGGGGGGCGGGGAAGGATGAGGAGGGGGAGGCGGAGGAGAAGGAAGAGGGGGAGGAGGGAGGGGTGGCCAGGGGGAGGAGGAGCAGGAGGAGGATGAGGAGGAAAGGGAAGCGGATGAGGGGAGGAGGGGGAGGAGGAGAGGGGCTTTGAGGATGAGAAACAACAATGGAACATGTTGCGGATAAAAGGAGGGAGAAGAGGAAGAGGAGCGGGCGAGCGGCGAGCGCGCGGCCGCCCGCTTGGACGTCAAGGTCAAGGCGCCACCCGCGGCCGCGGGGCAGGGGGAGGAGGAGGAGCGGGGGGGGCATTCCTCCCCCTCCCCCTCCTCCTCCTTCCTCCTCCTCCTCCTCCTCCTCCTCCTCCGCCGCCGCTGCCTCCTCTTCCTTATCCTCTTCCTCCGTCGCCATTTTGGCTCAAACCATTTGTTGGGTAACGCCTGGGGCGAGTGCTCAACGGCACTGAGCGCGGAAAACCCGAACGATACACTCATAAAGCGTCTGCGCGCTCCAACAACCACAACTTCAACGTACATCTTGGAACCTATAACTGTACGTAAAATATCACGTACAAGAACTGTCTGTAACGGACAAGTTTTTGTATGTGATGGACCACAGGGAGGAGCCCAGAGCGGCCTCCGCCACCGTTTCCAGACAGATCCGCTGGATCCGCCGACGAATCCCAAACCGGCGCCCTCGCTTGAGACATCCTCACAAAACCGGCCCCGGGGGAGGTGCCCAGAGGAGCCCAGAGCGGCCTCCGGCACCGTCCGGACAGATCCGGTGGATCCGCCCGGTGGATCCGCCGACGAATCCCAAACCGGCGCCCTCGCTTGAGACATCCTCACAAAACCGGCCCCGGGGGAGGTGCCCAGAGGAGCCCAGAGCGGCCTCCGGCACCGTTTCCGGACAGATCCGGTGGATCCGCCGACGAATCCCAAACCGGCGCCCTCGCTTGAGACATCCTCACAAAACCGGCCCCGGGGGAGGTGCCCAGAGGAGCCCAGAGCGGCCTCCGGCACCGTTTCCGGACAGATCCGTGGATCCGGTGGATCCGCCGACGAATCCCAAACCGGCGCCCTCGCTTGAGACATCCTCACAAAACCGGCCCCGGGGGAGGTGCCCAGAGGAGCCCAGAGCGGCCTCCGGCACCGTTTCCGGACAGATCCGGCCGACGAATCCCAAACCAGCGCCCTCGCTTGAGACATCCTCACAAAACCGGCCCCGGGGGAGGTGCCCAGAGGAGCCCAGAGCGGCCTCCGGCACCGTTTCCGGACATCCGCTGGATCCGGTGGATCCGCCGACGAATCCCAAACCGGCGCCCTCGCTTGAGACATCCTCACAAAACCGGCCCCGGGGGAGGTGCCCAGAGGAGCCCAGAGCGGCCTCCGGCACCGTTTCCGGACAGATCCAGATCCGATCCGGATGACGAATCCGCCCGGTGCCCAGATCCGGCACCCGGACAGAATCCCAAACCGGCGCCCTCGCTTGAGACATCCTCACAAAACCGGCCCCGGGGGAGGTGCCCAGAGGAGCCCAGAGCGGCCTCCGGCACCGTTTCCGGACAGATCCGGACAGATCCGGTGGATCCGCGCCCCGGGGGAGGTGCCCAGAGGAGGAATGAGGAGGAGGAGAGGAGGAGGAGGAGGAGGAGGAGGAGGAGGAGGAGGAGGAGGAGGAGGAGGAGGAGGAGGAGGAGGAGGAGGAGAAGATGATGGAGCTGTGGGGCGGAGGAGGACACACGGAGGCAAGAGAAGGATGGAGGAGGAGGAGGAGGAGGAGGAGGAGGAGGAGGAGGATGATGATGAGGAGGAGGAGGAGGAGGAGGAACCTCATCCTCACCCTCGCCAACAAGCGCACGCACCTTCTTCTATATACAGAAACTCCCGGTCAACCGCAGAGCGGCCGGCTAGTCGGAGTCCTGTAGCGGAGGGGCGACGCCCGGTGCGGGAACTGCGCAATTGTCGACAAGCCATTTCGGTTGCAGGATGGCCCTCTGAGTGTCGGCTGCGATGGCGCGGTCGCAGGCGCTGGATAAGACTCCGTTGGCGGGGCCACCGAGGGGGCGGCGATGGCAAGCCCAGGCGCGGAGCTCGCTGTGCGGAGGGAAGTGTATGATAGCCTGTCCCCATACATGAATCACTAGCTGCAGCACTTTTCCTGGTGGTGGTGCCTCTTCGCTGCTCTGTTGGGGACGCGGCTGAAGTGGGAGACCTGGAGCTGTCGTTTGAGGGGGGCGGTCAACTCGATCGCCCCCTCGGTCTGGATTAACAGCAGCATTGCTCCCGAAGCCGCAGTAATTTGATGCACGGCACAAATTGGCGTATTCTCTGTGAGGGACACGCGTCAAGGTCAGTGATTTCGTCGTTGTCAAGGCGTGGGCATTGATCGCTGTTGCAGATGTGGCGCGCAGCGGCAAAACGAAACTGTGCTGGGCGTGGTCTGACGCCTCCCATTCTTCCTTCAGGGTCTTCCTCGTTTAGGGTCCAGGCGAGGTGAGTGAGGTCCATGCGCATGAAGACGTTGGGGGCAGTGGTCGCACTCGGCGTCGCAGGCTGTGAGGAGCTCGCAAGGACGACGTTCAGCTAATGTGCCAACTTGCGCCAGGATGGGGCGCCCCGCCGGGTAACTCTTCCAGGCGAACTGTGCCAGTAGTTGCAGTCGCACCGTGGCGTCGAAAGACCTGACCGTTTGGCCAGCGCGTTGGGGCCAAGCACCTGATGGGAAGGGTGTGCCTTGTATCAAGCCTTCGATGCAGGGACCTCGTCTGCTCGCCTGGCGATCGTGTCCACGCGGGGCTGCGCTGCGGGAGCCAACTCTCGGGCGGCTGTGCCAGCATTGCAATGGCTGGCGTACTGGTGGAAGGTTGTGTTAGCAGTCGTGGGTTGCTTCAAATCTGGTGCGATGATGGAGTGGGTCGGTGTGGTGAAGGGGGGGCAGAGGAGGGAGAGGAACTATCGCGGCTTCTTCCTGGGTCGGAGGCAGGGCGTGAGGGTCCGGCACGGCTTGTTCCATCAGCATTATGTCTGCGTGGGGGGCAGAGGTAGGGCGACGTGCTTGGGGGGTAGATAGTGGTGGCTGCGTGGTTGGTGCTCCATCGTTTCCCATTTCCAAATCCGAGCCGTGCTCCAGATCAACTGGCATGTCAGTGGCGACCTCCTGCTCAATGGGGGCTGGGAGTGGAAGGCATTGTAGAGAGTTGAGGGCTTGCTGCGTCCCGAGGAGGGCAGCGTTCGGGACAAAAGTGGCAGTGGGGGTGCAAGAAGGTGATGGCTGGGTGTCATCGCGGGCGTAGGTGTCAGGTGTACCGGGCTGTCGCGTCTTGTTGTCGTCCTGTGTGAAGTGCCGAACTTCATTGGGGGTCAGAGTCGGGGAGGGAGTAGGAGAGGGGCATCCAACGGGAGCTCGAGGAGGGCTGGTTGCCCGGTGTCTGCTGTGTAGGTTATTCGTGGGCTGGCAGTCCCGGGGGGGAGGGGTCGGAGAGGCATCGGGGGGCGCGTGGTCCTCCACGGGGCGGTCGCACGCAGTGTCGGTGTGGAGTTGCTGAAGGGGGTGCTGACCTAACTGTGCGCCGTCCTCATCGGTGGGGCGACTAACCGTCGCTTCCAGGATGACATCAGTCGAAGCGGCGGGGGGGGAGAGACAGGGAGCGCAGCTAACTGCTGCTTCGCTGGAAGATAAGATAAGGGGACAGGCGCACTTGGCACGTTATCAGGAGAAGGGGGGCGACTAACCGTCGCAGCTTTGGGATGAACAGGAGAGGGATGGGAGGCAATCTCTTTCGGTAAGCCATCGCTTCCATCGGCAAAGCGCGGTCTGTGAGGGGATCCAATTAATCCTCGATCGGTATGCCCTCACCGATCTGGTCGTAGCTCCCGCTGGCCCGGTGTTTGCCGGAGGCAGAATTTCCTTGTGTGCCGTCGTCTCCAGCGACGGGATCTGGTCCAACGGATACTGGTTGACCCTCATCGTGCCGATCTTGGATCCTGCCCGATGTGTAGATTGATGCTTGTACCCGCTGGCCGACTTCGTCCTGGGGACCATCGTTTGGTTGCTCATCGGACAGTGATAACACCCCCAGGTCCTGCACTACTCCGTCACAATCCGCCCTGGTGACAATTGCCTGGATTTCGTCTCGATCGCCGTCTGAGTTCTGTTCCATCCCGGTGGCCCTAGGGCGGTGAGATGGACAGGAGGCGCGCCGAGGCCTGGCAGCAGCCCGCTATCGCGCGTGACCTGGCACGGGCGGGCACGGGGGGGCCGCGGCGGCCCCGGCGGTGCGTCGGGCGCCCCTTCGAGAGCGGGGGTTGCCCGCAGACGGCTTGAGCCAGAAGGCTACGGATGAATGGGGATGCGCGGAGCGTGGAAAAATCGGGCGACCCCCGCTTGTCGGGAGTGAGAAGGCGTGTGGGATGATTGACTGTCCTCCTCCGCGTTCCCTCCTCCACCAGGGTCTAACATCATGTTTAAGAGGCGGGGTATCAGGGCGGCTCGCTGGCGCTTCCAAATCTGCCTGTCGTGACCTCAACAACTTTCCAAGATGGTCCCAAATCGCGGAACGATTGACACAAGACGCTTGCGATGTCTCCAAGACGCCCCAAAGAGCTTTCTCAAGAGGGCCCCGAGAGGGCCCCGAAAAGCAAACATCAATGGTGTTCTTAGGTTTTTCAATGTTTCTGGTTTTATCGTCTTCTCGAGCTTCCGACGCTCCAAAATGGCCCAAGGAGGCCCAGTAGACCGCCCCAAAACTGCCCAAGAGGCTCCAGGATGGCCCAAGAGGGTTCCCAGACGGCCCAAAGAGGGGCCCAAGCCTGCCAAATATCGCCCCAAGAGAGGGTGAGATCGCAGTAGAGCGGAAAGCTGGAAAGCCCCCCGCTGGGAAATCGGTTTCGGTGTCATGTTCGTGTCGTGCGTGCGGGCGAGGCGAAACTGCGTGGGCGCGCGAGAGGAGTGATGCCGCCGTGGCTATGGGCTGTGGAGCCAGTTGTCCGCCCTCCCCCCCCGGCGCGCGGTGGCGGGGGGTGTCTGGTCAGTGGCGCGTCGGTGTCCCGTCGGTGGCGCGGGGTACCCCGTCGGTGGAGCAGGGTGTCCCGACGGTGGCTCCGGGTGTCCCGCCGTTGTCTCGATTTTAGCTCGTGAGACGAGATGTGAGATCGATAGTGACATCGATAGTGAGACCGATTGCGTGATCGATCGTGATCGTGAGATGGATCCCGGGTTGCCCCGTCGGTGGCGCGGGGTTGCCCCGTCGGTGGCGCCGTCGGTGGCGCGGGGTGTCCCGACGGTGGCTTCGGGCGTCCCGCCGTGGTGTTTCGATGGTAGCTCGTGGAATCAGCTATGAGATCGAAAATTACACCGATAGTGAGATCGATTGCGTGATCGACTCCGTGATCGTGAAATCGATCGTGAGATTGAGAGATCGATGGTAAGATCGTTAGTGAGATCGATCACAATAAATCTTTGGCTTGGGGTGCCCCGCCGTCGCTGGCGGGGCCCCATATGACATCGATATTGAGATCGATGGTGTGATCGATATCGAGAGCGATAGTGAAATCGATGGTGAGATCGATTGTGCAATTCGTGAGATCGGTGGCGCCATCGCATCGCCATCATTCTCATCGCAGTTAGTGTGGATGTTCCTTCCTCCAACCCTTCTCATCACCCGAAGGGAGGTCGTGTAGGTATGTAGTTGCCCCTGGGCAGGGCTCCGCCCAGGCATGGCAGTGATCAATCTATGAGTGCCCCTGAGCAGGGCCTCGTTCTCGAATGCTGTTTGCCCCTGGGCAAGGCCTCGTTCTGACACGTTCCCCCTATCAATTGAGGATGTACCCGACTCTCCGCGTTGTTTAGGCCGATGGAGATGTTCGATGTGGACCCTGAGCGTATCTGCATTCTGAATAGTGGAAACCATTGTTATTGCCCCTGCTAAGGGTCTTGCTCTGGCATGGTGGTGATCGGTTGGAAGTTGGAGGGTGAGATCGCGGTGGAACGGAGAGCCCCCCACCGGGAAATCCGTTCGTGTCGCGCGGGCGAGGCGAAGCTGTGTGGGCGCGAGAGAGGAATGACCCGGCCGGCGCTAGGGAGATTCGAATGCAGTGGACCACCCCTCCGCCCCTGGTGGGCGCGCGGTGGCCCAGGGTGTCCGCCTTGGTGTCGATAGTGAAATCACTGGTGAAATCGATAATGAGATCGCCAGAATGCGATGGTTAGTGAGATCAAACGTGAAATCGGTAGTTAGGTTGATTGTGACATTGGATGTGAGATCGATAATGAGATCGATAGTGAGATCTCTAGACAAATCGACAGCGAGATCGATAGTGAGATCAACACTGAGATCGAAAGCGAGAACGATACTGAGAATGATAGTGACATTACATCGCGGGTCAACCTCGTCATCGCGCGTCGTCGCTAACTCCAGGGCGCGTCACCAGCATCGTCATCATCACTTCCATCGCATTTGCCAGCAGTTGACTCTCTCCCCCCACCCCCTACCCTCCGCACCACCAGAAGGGTGGTCGTTTAGGTATATTATTGACCCTGAGCAGGGCATTGCTCTGGACTGGTGGTGATCGGTATGTCATTTCCCATGATCGGGGGCTTGTCCTGGAATGGTGCAACTGTTTTTGGCCGAAGGTGGTGGCAAGTATGTTCTCAACAATTGAACAAAACCTTACTCTGGAACATTGCCCCTATCAATTTTGTCTGTGACGGCCTATCCGCGTTTTAGGCCGACGGTGGTGATCCAAATGTTGATCAATATGTGATTGTCGGAGTGCACAGCTTCTCAAGGCTGATTAGTTTGTCTGCCGTCGGGTCTTGACAGAATACATTCGGTCGTCTTTGTTGTCAGGCAATTCAAACCGTGGCAAGATCCGTTTTTTTGGTCAGGTAAAAACAACGACCCCGTCCCATACGTTCGACGCCCGTGCTGGCGGTGTTTCCGGGTCCCCGATCCTGTACACCAGGGAGACGCCCTCGAACTCGAGCAGCCCCGCGCGAGGCCATGCCGGCCCCGCGAGGACCTCCTGCGCAGGGTGGAGAGAGGGCCACGCCCCGCTCATTCGTGCAACCCGTCCCGGCCCCAGACCCAAAGGAGGGAGACTCGAGGCCTACAGCGGCAGCGAACCCTAAACCCTAAACCCTAAACCCTAAACCCTAAACCCTAAACCCTGGACAGGGGCCCCTGCTGTCGGGCTCCTCGGAGGGGGGGCACGGCTGGGCCGCAGCGCGGACCTCGGACCGACGGAACCGATGACGCTCGGGATCGGGCCGAGAGCTCCTGGTTCGCCGACTGAGATCCAGGCCTCTGGCGATTGAAAAACGTCGTGACGGTTTCTGCTTCACCGCTTTCGGCCCCATCCAAGGGGGCCGGCTTCGATCTAGAAGGCGACCGAAAGACCACCTGCGATGTGAAACCTGCCCTGGAAAAAACAAGCTCGGGAGCGCTTGGGGCCAGCGGCTCGAAACAAATCAGTCGTCGCAGTTGTGGAGAGAGAGGAGGAGCGAGTCAGTGCTTTGTTTACTTCCTGGAACAATACTACTCCGCCGCCCCCGGGGTGAAAAGGCGTGGGGGACATTTGGCTGTCTCCCTCCCCTGGGGTCCAAAGTCCGAGAATAAGGGGGGAGGTGGTGGGGGCACCACAAGGTCAGCACCACACCTCTGAGGCACTCGGAACATCCGAATATACAATCCGTGTCCGCCATCATGCCTATCATGTGGTTCGAGAGGGCTCCCAAACGCCAGAGAGAACTCAAAAACACTCTAGATGGCCTCAAGACGTTCCCAGATGCTCCCAAGACGCACCAAGACGCACCAAGAGTACCTCAAGAATCATGAATCGCTGATTTTCCCTAACTAATATTTGAATTAGGTTCGCGCTCATACAAATACGGGCTTATGAACATCAAAGATAGCCCAAGAAACTCCAAAGACTGGCCAAAAGACAGCCCAAGAGGTCCACAGGAGGATCTAGAGACGGCCCAATAACGTTTACGAGACGACCGAAATGCCTTCTAGAGGACCCCAAGCGGGGGAATTTGCAGTGAACCCAGGAGCCTTCCCCCAAAGATTGCCCCAAAAACCCCCAGGTGAGGAGTTCTTGAATCTGCGCTGGGCACCCTCCATGGCTCGCGGAACGCGCCAGGGGCGGCACTGGAGGCGCCGCCAGGGGATTCCAACATCCAATAAATCAGCGAGGACATCGGAAAACGTATAATCATATGTTCTCACATGTTTCGAAACCCTGAGGACCAATTTGCTCCACGTGGGTCATCCCGGGTCCTCGTTCGGCATGTGCCGGGGCGGTTCCTGCTCCAGCTCGGCGTAGTGCATTAGCCGCTCCAGGCCCGAGAGGCCGACGAGCAGGCGGTTCAGCACGTCCCCGTAGAACGCCAGGAAGTACGGCACCAGGAAGCTGTAGGTCAAAGCAAGCGCCATGAACGCGGGGTCCAGATGGTCCTCTGTACGCCTCCGCCTCCTCCTCCTCCTCGTTTCTGCGAATGGTGTTCTGACACGGTTCCAGATTGTCAAGACGCAACATTCAGGTTGATCCGTGGCGTTGGAATCCCGAATGCAACGTTTTGGCATGCTTCAGGGTCTTCAAACGGTTTTCTTCCAACGAGGCAATTCCTTCAATGGAAATGAACCGTTGTAGGGGCTTATGAAGAGGGAGCTTGGAGGGACGGTTTATTCCAACATTGTTGATGCCTCTTGGGTTTACACTGGTCCTCCTGCTCCTCCTCCTCCTCCTCCTCCTCCTCCCCTGGAGGCCCGAACGATCTGCCTCCGCGGAACTGCCTCAATGGACCTCTGGAAACCTCGACCGTCCTCCTCCAAAACCTCCGCCTCCGCGGAGGCTCTTCGGTGAACCTCTGGAAGCCTCGGCCCCGGGCGACGCCCGAGGATCCCACCAGCCCTCTGGGCTGAGTGGTTTGACGAGTTGTTCTCAGTTCCCTGTCTCATTCCCCTGCTCTGGGGACGGGTTTGCCCCTCCCCCTACACCCTCCTCTGGGCCTGGGAGGGGAGGCGGACGGAGCCGTCAGAGCGCCCACGATTGTCCCAGGGCTCCCAAAGGGCCCAAGACAGCCCAAGAGGGACTCAAGAGAGCTCAAGATACCTCAGCATCGCTCAAGATAGCCTCCGACAAGCCTCCAAGACGCTCCAAAACAGCCCCAAGAGGGTTCCAAGTGCCATTCCCGCCTTCCCTGGCACCTCCCAAGAGGCCCGAATCCTTCACAAAAAGCTGAAGACAATCAAGGTGTTTTGGCGTCTCGACGTTTCGCTTCCGATGAACTTCTCGGGCCTAATTATGGCTCCAAGATAGCCCTAGAGAGGCCCAAGAGGGGCCCAAGACGGCTCCAAGGCGGCCCAAAGAGCGCCAAAGAGGCGCCCAGGAGGGGCCCAAGAGGCCCCCGAGAGGCTACTTGGAGCTTTCGCGGGGGGGGACCTACGCTGCAGTCTGTGATCGAACTCCTCCAAGATGGCACCAAGAGAGCCCAAAGGTCTTTTTTATTTTACAAAACAGTAAATACATACATAACTGTAAAAGAGAGGGAAAGAGAGAGAGAGAGAGAGAGAGAGAGCCCAAAGGGGCGCCCAGCACCACCAGGGAGGCGCCCAGCACCGCTACGGAGGCCCTCAAGATGCCCCCCAGAGTGGAGCTCGAGAGGCCCTCAAGAGGCCATCGCGGAGCCTCCGATGACCCCTCCTTCTTTGAGCCACGGGGGGCCTTCTGACCCGGGTCAATCCAGACCCGGGTCAGTCAGGCCTTGCAGGATCCTGCAACCAAGCCCAGGGTCAATGCGAAGGATCCTGCAAGCTCCTGCAGGATCCTGCACCCAAGCCCGGGTCAATGCGACCCTGGCTCTGCAGGATCCTGCAAGGTCGGGGCGCTCTGGCTGGCCCCCGTTTACATTGACCCCCGTCTCTTGAGCAGGGACCGACCGTTCTGGCAGTCCTGTAGTCCTACCACGAAAGGTTCTTAGAACCCAGAATTGTTCTAAGGACAAAAACAATGTTCTCAGAACATCAACCCGATGAGTCAAAACAAGACAGCCTCAACCTGAAATGTTCTAAGAACCTTTCGTGGGAACCACAAAAAGTTCTTAGAACATTCTTTGGTAGGCCTATACACTCGGGGCGCGCAACAAGAAACCATGTGCTTTTCGTCAAGGTATCCTGGATGTCTTGGCTCCGCCCGCTGCGCGGTGATTTCCCGCAGCCGTTGAGAGGTGCTGCATTCAGGGCGCTCCCGGTTTCCCCTCAGGCGCACCCCGCGCGCGGGTTTTGAGGGTTGGGCTTCTTGCGAGGGTTTCTTGCGGCCGCGCCCTCACTGTACGGCAGGTTCGTGTCGTGTCGACCCCGGCGTTGGTTCCTGACACCGCGGGGATCGTTCAACCTTGAACGATCGGGCGTGTCCGAAACGTCCAAATCGTTCCACATCGAACGATGATGGGTCGCCCGCGGCGTTCAACGTTGAACGCCGCTGGCGGGGTCGCCGCCGGTCGACACAGGCGAACCTGCCGTAGGCGAGCCAGGACGCTTCGCCACTGCTCGAGCCTCGAGGCTCCCGACGAAGACGTCTCAGGCCTCCTCCGGCGCGGGCGTGCGGGCCAGAGCGCGGGCGAGCGGGAGGCCGCGCGCCCGCACGCAGGGCCCAACACGTGGCCCCCAAGAAGGTCCCCCCCCCATAGAGACAAAACGACGCGAGGCCAGCCTGTTCGCCCGCGCGGAGGAGGAGGAGGAGGCGGAGGAGGAAGGGGAGGAGGAGGAAGGGGAGGAGGAGGAAGGGGAGGAGGAGGAGGAGGAGGAGGAGGAGGAGGAGGAGGAGGAGGAGGAGGAGGAGGAGGAGGAGGAGGAGGAGGAGGAGGGGCTGGCTGTTTTTCTAAACCCGTTCGGGGAAAGCATTGGCAGCATCGCGGGACTCCGCAGCGTGGCCGCCCCCCGATGACACAAACGTGGCAGGTCGGCATAGCTCGAATCACACACAAATGTCGCCACCCTCCCCGCACCCCCGACAAACTGGGTAGTCGAAGCCAATCTGGCAGGCCCAATCTGGCAAACGGGGGCAATCTGGCGAGGGAGCCAACGCGAATCCAGTCTGGCGAATAACCCAAATCATCTAGTTTGGCCGGGCCAGATTGACCCTTGGGGCCCAATCCAATCGGACAGTCTGGCCTTCGACTACCCAGACAAAGGCATTCAAGGTGTTCTATGCTTCTGCTCCGCCCACAAAAAAGCCAACACAACCCAGTAATCAAGAATTATCTGGGCGAGAAGGACGAGCGGTCTTACACCACCCCTGAGTGAGTGGGTGATGTAGGATTCCGTTGCACAATTCGCTACAACGGTGCACCCGTTTGGATCGCGTTTCCGCCAGCCCAGTTACTCTGCCTAGCCGCCGACGCAAGACGTGTGTCTGTAGTTGCTGGTTTGTTACATTCTCATGTCTACAGGTTAGTCATGGTTGATCCCCTCTTGGGTACACATTGCGTTTTGGAATTAAAATGTCCCTTCTGGGACTCGCACGTGCCCCAGCTGGGGCTCGCACGCTTTATCTCTCTCTCTCTCTCTCTCTCTCTATATATATATACAAACACAGGAAAGTCTTGCGCCTCAGCCTGTCTTGGTGGCCCCCGAACTACACGGCAACAGCGACTCACGCCTGATACTGCCTCACAACTACTTCCAAATCGCGCTCTCGCCTGGGATTTTCACAAGATGTATGGAAGAATCGCGCTCTCGCGCGGGACTTCCTTGCGTCGTGTTTGTTACGAAGGCAGAACTGTAGATTCAGACTGTGTTGGCGGCCACTGGTTTACTGCAACAGCGAATCCCGTCTTCTACCATCACGACCAGCCTTCGGGTGATGTGGAGGTTCGGGGGGGGGAAGGGAGGAACCACCGTCTCACTCAACGGCCTCACTATCGAGATCATTCTCATCGAACTTACTATCGATCGCACCCATCGACCTCACGATCGGTCTCAACAACGGCTCTCGTTTTGTACTTCCGCGTAATATCTTTAGGAGCCCCACCCTGACTCGAGACTTCCCCGCAAGGCGCGCAAAAATCGAGCTCTTGCCTGAGATGTCCGCGCTCTGGAACCGCGCTCTCGCTGTACACTTGCTCGCAATGTGTGAAAGGATCGCGTTCGCGCGATGGACTCCCTCGCCACATACTCCAGCGCCGCGCGTTCGCCATTCACAGTGTATTGAACATCTGGCTTTCGCTGAGGACTCCCTTGCAACGTATCCAGGACTGGCACTCTCGCGTAAAACGTCCTTGCCATTGATTTCCACATCACCCTCTCGGCGCCATGGAATCGCGCTTTCGCTCGGGATTTCCTCATACTTTCACTCAGAAGCCGCGCTCTCGCCTGAGAGTTCCTTGTCACTCCTCGTGCTAAAACCTCTTGCTAATCTCTCTAGTCCTCCATCGTCTCCCTGCCCCCTTCCCTCCTTCCCTTCCTCCACTCGCTTTCTCCTCGCGTTTTCGCTGTTCCATGATCCATTATCTTCCTGATTCAGGGGCCGCGCAAATCACACGTGACAGGGAAGACGGATACCCCGCCCAAACGGGGCAAAATCAATGACAAACAGAACGGGTATCGACGGCTTGGGAGATACAATGTTGGACCCTGATGAGCTCTCACTGCGAAGAAGCAAATACTGTTGATGACCACACCGGGTGCACACTGTGTATTTGAATTGAACTGCCCCTCTTGGGGCTCGCACGCTGTTTTTCTCCTGGGGAAGGTCTTGCGCCTCAGACCACATTCGTGGCCACTGAACTACACAACAACAGCAGCTCCCGCCCGGCACTGCGCCACAATGAATTCAAGATCGCGCTCTCTCGCGGGACTTCCAAACGACGTATGCAAAAATCGCACTCTCGCGCGGGACGTCCTCTCAATGCACTGAGACGCTGCGCCTTTGACGCGCAGGAATCAACTCTGGGACCCCTCATGATTTACTTGGAAATCGCGCTATTGCTCGCAACCTCCTCGCGGTCCACGCGCGACTGACGCTTCAACGACCCGCCCGCTCGACTCGGCCATCTTTGAGCAGGGACCGACCGTCCCGGCATTCTTATAGTCCTACCACGAAATGTCCGTAGAACCCAAAATTGTTCGAATAATAAAAACAATGTTCTTAGAACATAAACCCGATGTGTTAAAACAAGACAGACTCCGAACCAGAAATGCTTTCAGAACATTTCGTGGAAACCACAAAACGTTCGTAGAACATGCTTTGGTAGGGCTATGGGCGAGCCTAGGCACTTCGCCTCGGACGTCTATGTTCCGTGCATTTGTTCGGTTTCGTGCGTATTTGTTTTGCTCGATGGTCCAGGATGGTCCTCGATGGTTCTCGCCAAGAAAAAATGCACACGTCCCAGCGATGCCAAGGCTTGTTTACTTGGAAATCGCGCTATTGCTCGCAACTTCCTCGCGGTCCATGC